TCGTTTCCATGACTTCCATTGACGAAGGCTCAATGACGAATGCGCGCGCTGGTGCGTCAGAGAAATTGTCCACAGAAGTTGCAGATTGCAGCAGTTAAATAGTCAAAGATTCATGCAGAACAGCTTGTGTTGTACTGCATAGTTCAGTTACAAATCACTCTTACAAGGCAAAACATTTATTATTATGTATCATATATTTATATTTTAATGTTGAATTGTTATCTTGATATTAGTCATTCTAAAGGGCCTCTAAGTGTAGCTTGGTGCCACACAAACATTGCCACATCTATGATCTAGTAATGCCCGGCATTAGTCAACTACTGAATGATAGTCAGACAGGAGATTCAATATTTATTGTCCAATATAAAGATCATTGCATGGAATTAGCTTCAAATTCTGTAAAAACAAAAGTTCTTTTGAAGCACCTTTTGCTAACTCCTGTCTTTATGTGAACCCATCTGCTTTAATTCTGTTACATTGTTAGTTTCTCCATTTTTGAACAGCAAAACAATTTCTATTCTGCTCTATTTTCTTTTACAGCGTCGGTGCTGGACTCGCTCTCAGTAGAGGATCTAATTAAGACATAGTTTCATGACCTTTGCTCTTTAACGAGCATATTTAAGAACTGATCACTTTTATGGAAACCAATGACATCATTCTTGACTGTTTGTCTTCTCTGAAATTTTCCAGAATTTGTTATAATTCTGGTTTGTTGTTAGTTCCAGTTCTGGATGATCTGATGAATGATCTGAAGGAGAGACATGATCAGACATGTCTAGTGTGGTTTGTGTTCATAGTTTGCTGCAATGTGACATTGATGAAAGCAGGGAAAGATGGAATAAAATACCATCAGGCCTGCTAAACTGTCTCACGGTGCATCTGGTGAACCGGATGTCATGCACCACCTTCCTAAAAACCTGTTTTTGTTCTTGTTGTTTTTCTCTTTTAACATCTGCTTAATTTGTTGCCTGTTTGGCAGTTTTCAAAAATAATTGGTCAAAACAAATAAAAAGAATCAATCACGCGTTAGTATGTCACTTTTTATTGTAACAATTTATGATTACATAAATATAATTAAGCATTACAACATTTTCCAACAATAATTATATTGTTGGAAAATTCAGATTCTGCAGATCAACAATGTTTCTGGTCATCAGGTGGAGCAGGTCTTCTACTTTAATTGTTGGTCAACTCAGGTCATGTGACATGAGTTGACAGAGAAATGAAACAAAGAGAAAAGACAACAGAGTTAGAGGACAATATGCATGGACAGCAGACATAACCAGTTTCTAACTTTAAGCTCAACTCTATGCAGCTTGATCTGAAATGTTTCCTTCATGTTGAGTAGATATAAATGTTCTTACTTTTTTCGTCAACTGGGTTCTCTTATCTTCCTCCACCTGACTGGTGGTGTTGAAGGTGGAGGATTGCAGGTTGATGATGATCCACTTCACATGATCTCAGTCTCTTTATTCTGTGTCTCGTCCTCAGCTGTCCCCCTGATGCATCAGGAAACTTCTCTGGATTTCCAGCAGGATCTTCTGTGTCTTCTCTCTGCTGATTGGTCCAGTGCTGTTGCTAGAGAACCAACACATGATGAGACACACATTCCTTCATTTCAGTCTAAATACCAGATGATAGAAGAGACTTTCTGATCAAGTCATCATCATGTCCTCACCTTTCCCACAATCTCTTACAACCAGTAGAGCAGCAGGTGGAGCAGGTCTTCTGCTTTAATTGTTGGTCAACTCAAGTCATGTGACATGAGTTGACGAGAAATGAAACAAAGAGAAAAGACAACAGAGTTAAAGAGAAAAATATAGAACTAGATTATAAATCTCAGCTCAACTCTATGCAACTTTATCTGAAATGTTTAGTTAAGTTGTGTAGATATAAATGTTCTTACTTTTTTCGTCAACTGGTTCTCTTATCTTCCTCCACCTGACCGGTGGTGTTGAAGGTGGAGGATTGCAGGTTCAGGAGATCCAACCTGGAATGATCAGAAACATTATTGATCTGCAGAATCTGAATTTGGAACCAGAAACCGGCTCTGGGTTTTCTATCATGTTTCTCAAATTCTTTGATATTTAACCCACGTACAGGTGAACTTTAACATGAGATGCTAGAGAATCAACACATTCAGTCTAAATACCAGATGATAGAAGGAGACTTTCTGATCAAGTCATCATCATGTCCTCACCTTTCCCACAATCTCTTACAACCAGTAGAGCAGCAGGTGGAGCAGGTCTTCTGCTTTAATTGTTGGTCAACTCAGGTCATGTGACATGAGTTGACAGAGAAATGAAACAAAGAGAAAAGACAACAGAGTTAGAGGACAATATGCATGGACAGCAGACATAACCAGTTTCTAACTTTAAGCTCAACTCTATGCAGCTTGATCTGAAATGTTTCCTCATGTTGAGTAGATATAAATGTTCTTACTTTTTTCGTCAACTGGTTTCTCTTCCTCCACCTGACTGGTGGTGTTGAAGGTGGAGGATTGCAGGGTCAGGAGATCCAACCTGAGATGATCAGACATCAGAGATCTGAGAAGTCTGGACCTGTGATCAGAGACTAGTGTCTGTATTTTAAATGTCTATTCTCTTTTTGTGATCTTTCTGTGTTGCAACATGTAAATATGGCTATATAACTATTTGTTTTATGAGATTAATATTTTATCTTTACTCCACATACTCCCCTATTCTCTACTTTCCTACTGAATAAAAGTTTTTCATTAAATCCCTAATAATACATTTTGTCTATGTTCTCCTCTGTCTTCCTATTTCTTATTGGCTTGATGCTTTAATTTCATCTCTAATACAAATATTATCAGGCAAACTTTCATTACTAAATGTAAATTTGAACTCTGCTAATAGTGAATTTCTTTCTGTGTTTATCTAGTAAAGCTGATGGTCCCCAACACTAGAAGGAGGCAAACAGTATTATGTGTTGTGGAATGCAAAAACTTACAAGCAGGAACCACGAGGACAACGACAAAAGAATCCAACGAAGAGCATCTAAAACCTGAAAGATTAAAACTGGGAGAGTGGATTAATGAAGGAACAGGTGAAGACAATGTAGTATTTCAGAGAACACCGTGTGGGGAAGCAGCACTACTGCACCATGAAACATGTGAGAGCAGAGAGGAAAACAGAGACAGAAGCACAGAGACTCTTGGAAGAAGCAGTCTCACTGTGCTGCTGTCTGGGACTGATACTTACTTTTGCCTTGCTTGAAAGGTGATCCTGGTGGTCCTCAGAAATATCCAGGGTGGTCCAAGTCACTGGACCAAGCCTTAACCAAAGATTTATCTCTGTCTTTTTCTTTTATCCTTAAAGAGTTTCATTTGTAATCCGCGGTTGTTTTATTTCCTCTACATTTTAATTTGTCCACCATGGCATCATATTAGTCCTGAAACATTTAGATTTCTCACTGCTTGAAATATTTCATTTGTCCGCAGAAGCGTTGAGAGATGAATTTGTCCAGAAAAGCATCGTCTCTTCTCAATCCTAAGACATTTTAGGTTTGACGCCCAGCAGCATTACCAATATTTAACCCATTATCGCCTGCGTTTAACGACATATTAACATGTGGACTTGATAAATGATTGATCCGTTGATCAACAGTTAATTTCCGGGATCCAAAGGACCTGCCCATTTCTCTCTTCTACTTGTCATCTTTGAACATTTGAATCAACTCCTGTTGTTACTGTCGCCGACGTTGTTATTTCATACGTAGAAACGCCTCACTTTATAATGTCCAGACCAGAAAAGTAATAACTTTAAAACCGCTCTTTCAATCCGTTTATACCACTCAACCGATTATATTTTATCTCCATTTTTGATTTTTCATGTCTTAATTTGCAGCAGTGTTATCTCAATTTTATTAATTCCAGTGTCCCGAGCCACGTTATCTTAATCGTTTTTAGGTTTGATTTTTACCCAGCAAGATTGTTTCAGATTTTGTATTAATCCTGTTGCGATGTCTGATTCCTTTTTAGCATTTATCTTTCATGCACCAGCCATGCCCGACTCCTTTAGTATTTTTTGTTCATCAGAATGGTCTTGTTCCTCAGAAATTGAAATTAGCCTCCTGCAGCATTTAGTCATTCATTGATTAATAGCAAAAAAATCAGCATTGCCAGTTCAACCAGAATTCTCAACATCTAAAATGAAACTCTAGCAGCGGGATAAGAAAAGCCTCGGTGCAAGACGCTACCCAAAGCATCCTCGGTCCTGCTAGAATCCTTAACGTCTAAAATGAAAACTCTAGCAGCGGGATAAAGAAAAGCCTCGGTGCAAGACGCTACCTAAGGCATCCTCGTCCTGCTAGAATCCTTAACGTCTGAAATGAAAACTCTAGCAGCGGGATAAAGAAAAGCCCCGGTGCAAGACGCTACCTAAGGCATCCTCGGTCCTGCTAGAATCCTTAACGTCTAAAATGAAAACTCTAGCAGCGGGATAAAGAAAAGCCTCGGTGCAAGACGCTACCTAAGGCATCCTCGGTCCTGCTAGAAAGCCATCGGCTTTAATAAAAACAACAGAGAAAAGATGGTCTCGTAATGGGACATCTCAGGTAGGTCTTCAGTTTTTCAAGATCCCAATCTAATCAGAGTCGTCGCTTGACAAGTCGTAGCGAGGTCTAAACCACACTTGTCCGGAACTCTCTCTTCCTCTAGCTCTGTCAGATCCAATTCCAGATGTTGATGGTACTGGTTCCTCTTCTTTGTCCATTTGAAACTTCATCCAGGCACACATGCAAGGGAATGACGAACTTTGAAACCTGCAGTATGTTGACGGTGAAGGACAAACGACGGGGGAAGACACAGTGGGATCCTCACACACTATCCTTTGTGGACGACTGAGGACAGGGGATGACAAAACAGGATCTTCACAGACTGGGGGACTGATGGAATGAACTGACGCAATGGGACCTTCACAGGGCAGTCTTGGTGAGGGACTGAAGACAGGGGAGGGCAAATGGGATCCTCACATGCGCTGTTAGGTGAAAGACGGATGGGTGAAAAAATGGGATCCACCCAGAATGGCAAGGGAGAGGGACTGAGGCGAGGGGATGACGGAACGGATCCTCACACCATGTATTTGTGGTGGGACAGACAACAGGTTCCTCTTCATCGTCGCTGTTCCTGGACCTCTTGGCAGGGACCTCCTCTTCAGCACCACTGTCCCTGGTCCTCTTGGAGGGGAGCCCATCTCTAGGTTGACTCTCCCTGGTGCTTTTGGCTGGGGCTCCTCTTCAGCATCTTCTCTCTCCCTAGACTTCTTTGTTGGGGGCTCCTCTTCAGCATCTTCACTGTCCCTGGTCCTCTTGGAAGAGAGCTCCTCTTCTGCAACAGCGTCCCTGGTCTTCTTGGCAGGGGGCTCCTCTTCAGAGTCACTTTGATTTGTCCTCTTTCTGTTTAAGCCGGTGACGGATGGCGCACGAGTCACATCCCTACCAGACCTACCTGATGACGCTGCGAGATACCGGCGAGTGTGGAGTCATCTGGCTCAAAATGGACTCTTCCCGCTTGACAAATCCATGTGTGGATTCAAGTGAGGTCAACTGAGAAGTGCCCTCTTCAAGCTTCTGAGCCATCTCCAGCTCAGCGTAAGGACGGTCCACTGTTGGACTGCAGCTGGTAGTGCTGATACTACCGTAGCTGCTAGTAAACTCGTTACCTACCTCAGCTTCACTGGAGATAGGAGTAGAGCTACCACTGTAGCTGGTCGTAGAGCTACCACAAGACCTGCTAAAACAGCTATCAACAAACTGCTAGAACAGTCATCCTGACTGGAGCTACCTCTGGATCTGTTAGTACAGTCAACAGACTGCGGAGGGGAACTACACCTAGACTCCTCTCCATGATCTCCAGAAACCATGTTGCCTGAAATGTCAACATTTGACCACATCTTCCCAAATCCTTACCATCATCCTGATGTTCCTCTGACGTTGGGGATCCATCTGCTGGAAGCGCTACTATGAGCTGTGAAGGAAAACAAGAAAAAACACTATAGTTCAGTATGAAGACCTTCACAAAAACCCAAAGCAATGTTTCAATAGAACACTAAAATACCACAATACATAGGGTTGACAATGTCTAAATAGAAAGACATTTTATTGTGTCTTGATGACTTTTTAACAGCTAATAAAATACCTTTAACCTTACATTGTACTATTAGTGTGAATAAAATAAAATACTGCAACAAGTGACTCAGTTTACCTTCCTATAACTCACAAATCTTTAATGCTGCTGAACAGGTAAGTTTTATTTTAATAACCAAAACAAGATACATGAGCCATTTATTACTATTCAACTTAAATTAGTCCTTACATAACTTTAATACTTTCTGAAAACGTAATCAACCTGAAATATATTACAGCCCCAAATAGAAAAAGGACCAACACATCATTCGTAAACCACTAATTATTCAAAACTTCTATCTCTTAGAAAAATAAAATCAAAAAATAATAAAAATATAAACGACACCATTTACTTTAAACAGGAAAAGATATATAAATAGAAATATATCTCTAAAAACTTTTCTAAACTTCAAGTTTTAAGGATTTATTTCAAGCAATGTATCCAAGGAGACCAAATGTGTTTTTGAGGCATTTTCTGAAACCTGGAACAAGCTCTGACTTCTATTCCAAAACTCTGAATAAAACAAACAGATCTTCTAAAACCAGAAATAACCTTTTAACAGAAGATTTTATTTAAGCAGTGTTAAACCTCCACAATCTCACCTAAAATGTGGAAACATTTTATTTGACGGGATGTGAATGAGACTGTCATGATGATAATATCATAACAATTATGACATTTGTTGTCATAATTGTTATGACAACAAATGTCATAATTGTTATGTTTTGACAAACATAATTGTTGTTATGACAACAAATGTCTTTGTTGTCATAACAAAGACATTTTGAATATCAACTTTGTATTAAAAGTGTCATGATTTCCTGAATGACACTTGTATCCAATGTATCCATGGAAACTAAATATGTTTGTGGATTTTTCCAAAAAAATGGACAAAGAATCATCCAGTTTGCCAAGAATTGGACACCAAAGTCATAAAAGCTGATTTTCACAAAGAAATAACAATTTTGTTTTTGAAAATCAGCTTTGATTGATGATCATTTTCACACAGACACACATGAACACATATGATGCTGGTCACGGTGGCCACAGTGGTGGAGTTTGCTCTGCAATGGCCGGCCTCTGGCGTTGTGTCCTTGGTCAAGACATTTCACCCACCTTTCCTGCTGCTGTTGGTCAGAAGGGCCAATGGCTTGATAGAACATCTGTGGCTACAATCCATGAGCTTATCATCATTATTGTGTGAATGTGTGCATGAATGGAAACTAGTGATTTGATGTAAAGTCTTTATGAGTGTCCTAAGAAACCTCTACAAGTCTGATGGCATTGTCATGGAAACCAAATAAAAACTAATGATCAAGAACAAGCTAGCGTTCCTGTTTTGTTTTGTTTAAAATTAACATAACAGTTATTCTCAAGGACTAGTGCTAACATCCCAGACATTTATTCACAAATTCCAATTTGCAAACACATATACAGTCAGAAAACTATTTAAATTAACTCACACATTTGTTTCATCCCACAAATCCAAAAGAGAGGATTGAAGATACATATTTCAAAGAAGACAACAAATTGTTCTTTTTCAAATCAATTCACCCTTGTTAGCATTCCTGGCTATGCTAAAACAACAACAAACCAACATGTCCCTGTCTTGAAGAAATGATCAAACTAAACGATTACAGGCTATCAAAGGGGAAAATACATGTTGATAAATCTTTTTTTTTTTAAGTAACATAAAATAGCTAATGTATTTTATTTAGAGTATCCATGGAAACCATGTGTTTATCTGCATTTTTCAAAAAAATAACTGTCAATTTTTTAAGCATTTGACATTAATTCAACACTTTTGACTATAATTAGGTAAATACATATAATACTTCAATCATGACACCACAGTTTAATATTCCTGACATTTCCTGGAAACTGAGTCAAGAAAAAGGCTAAGAAAGATCTATGCTAGCAAGAATGCTACTTGTCTTTTTGTTCAGCAGGCACTATTTCTTTATAAAACCGGACACAAACACAAAATAAACTAAACAATTCATTGTTATGTTAGTAATAAGTTGCTTTTGTTTATTAAAAACAGTAGAATAATGATATTAACCTTCCAGCTGATCACCCTGCTGTGCTTCTCCCGGCCAGGATCCATCTTCGCGGGTTTTCGGCTTCTTCAGCAAATGCGTTTTCCACCAAGAGCTTCTGAGCGAGTTTTGCAAAGCGGACTTGTCCAAAGGTTCAGACCTTCCGAGGCGTTATGCGTCTTCGGCGTCTCCTTCAAAAGTCTCGTAGCAAAGGGGAAGATTCCAGGAGGTCAGCGTCATTTATCGGGTTGCCGAGACTGACGTCGTTTCCATGACTTCCATTGACGAAGGCTCAATGACGAATGCGCGCGCTGGTGCGTCAGAGAAATTGTCCACAGAAGTTGCAGATTGCAGCAGTTAAATAGTCAAAGATTCATGCAGAACAGCTTGTGTTGTACTGCATAGTTCAGTTACAAATCACTCTTACAAGGCAAAACATTTATTATTATGTATCATATATTTATATTTTAATGTTGAATTGTTATCTTGATACTAGTCATTCTAAAGGGCCTCTAAGTGTAGCTTGGTGCCACACAAACATTGCCACATCTATGATCTAGTAATGCCCGGCATTAGTCAACTACTGAATGATAGTCAGACAGGAGATTCAATATTTATTGTCTAATATAAAGATCATTGCATGGAATTAGCTTCAAATTCTGTAAAAACAAAAGTTCTTTTGAAGCACCTTTTGCTAACTCCTGTCTTTATGTGAACCCATCTGCTTTAATTCTGTTACATTGTTAGTTTCTCCATTTTTGAACAGCAAAACAATTTCTATTCTGCTCTATTTTCTTTTACAGCGTCGGTGCTGGACAGTAGAGGATCTAATTAAGACATAGTTTCATGACCTTTGCTCTTTAACGAGCATATTTAATAAATGATCATTTTTATGGAAACCAATGACATCATTCCTCACTGTTTGTCTTCTCTGAAATTTTTCTGAATTTGTTATAATTCTGGTTTTGTGTTAGTTCCAGTTCTGGATGATCTGATGAATGATCTGAAGGAGAGACATGATCAGACATGTCTAGTGTGGTTTGTGTTCATAGTTTGCTGCAATGTGACATTGATGAAAGCAGGGAAAGATGGAATAAAATACCATCAGGCCTGCTAAACTGTCTCACGGTGCATCTGGTGAACCGGATGTCATGCACCACCTTCTAAAAACCTGTTTTTGTTCTTGTTGTTTATCTCTTTTATTTAACATCTGCTTAATGTGTTGCCTGTTTGGCAGTTTTCAAAAATAATTGGTCAAAACAAATAAAGAATCAATCACGCGTTAGTATGTCAGTTTTTATTGTAACAATTTCATAAATACATCAAGCATTACAACATTAAGCATGACAACATTTTTCAACAATAAATTATATTGTTGGAAAATTCAGATTCTGCAGATCAACAATGTTTCTGGTCATCAGGTGGAGCAGGTCTTCTACTTTAATTGTTGGTCAACTCATGTCACATGACCTGAGTTGACAGAGAAATGAAACAAAGAGAAAAGACAACAGAGTTAGAGGACAATATGCATGGACAGCAGACATAACCAGTTTCTAACTTTAAGCTCAACTCTATGCAGCTTGATCTGAAATGTTTCCTCATGTTGAGTAGATATAAATGTTCTTACTTTTTTCGTCAACTGGGTTCTCTTATCTTCCTCCACCTGACTGGTGGTGTTGAAGGTGGAGGATTGCAGGTTGATGATGATCCACTTCACATGATCTCAGTCTCTTTATTCTGTGTCTCGTCCTCAGCTGTCCCCTGATGCATCAGGAAACTTCTCTGGATTTCCAGCAGGATTTTCTGTGTCTTCTCTCTGCTGATTGGTCCAGTGCTGTTTGCTAGAGAACCAACACATGATGAGACACACATTCCTTCATTTCAGTCTAAATACCAGATGATAGAAGGAGACTTTCTGATCAAGTCATCATCATGTCCTCACCTTTCCCACAATCTCTTACAACCAGTAGAGCAGCAGTGGAGCAGGTCTTCTGCTTTAATTGTTGGTCAACTCAAGTCATGTGACATGAGTTGACAGAGAAATGAAACAAAGAGAAAAGACAACAGAGTTAAAGAGAAAAATACGAAACTAGATTATAAATCTCAGCTCAACTCTATGCAGCTTTATCTGAAATGTTTAGTTAAGTTGTGTAGATATAAATGTTCTTACTTTTTTCGTCAACTGGGTTCTCTTATCTTCCTCCACCTGACTGGTGGTGTTGAAGGTGGAGGATTGCAGGTTCAGGAGATCCAACCTGGAATGATCAGAAACATTATTGATCTGCAGAATCTGAATTTGGAACCAGAAACCGGCTCTGGGTTTTCTATCATGTTCTCAAATTCTTTGATATTTAACCCACGTACAGGTGAACTTTAACATGAGATGCTAGAGAATCAACGCATTCAGTCTAAATACCAGATGATAGAAGGAGACTTTCTGATCAAGTCAACATCATGTCCTCACCTTTCCCACAATCTCTTACAACCAGTAGAGCAGCAGGTGGAGCAGGTCTTCTGCTTTAATTGTTGGTCAACTCAAGTCATGTGACATGAGTTGACAGAGAAAAGAAACAAGAGAAAAGACAACAGAGTTAGAGGACAATATGCATGGACAGCAGACATAACCAGTTTCTAACTTTAAGCTCAACTCTATGCAGCTTGATCTGAAATGTTTCCTTATGTTGAGTAGATATAAATGTTCTTACTTTTTTCGTCAACTGGGTTCTCTTATCTTCCTCCACCTGACTGGTGGTGTTGAAGGTGGAGGATTGCAGGTTGATGATGATCCACTTCACATGATCTCAGTCTCTTTATTCTGTGTCTCGTCCTCAGCTGTCCCCCTGATGCATCAGGAAACTTCTCTGGATTTCCAGCAGGATTTTCTGTGTTTTCTCTCTGCTGATTGGTCCAGTGCTGTTGCTAGAGAACCAACACATGATGAGACACACATTCCTTCATTTCAGTCTAAATACCAGATGATAGAAGGAGACTTTCTGATCAAGTCATCATCATGTCCTCACCTTTCCCACATCTCTTACAACCAGTAGAGCAGCAGGTGGAGCAGGTCTTCTGCTTTAATTGTTGGTCAACTCAAGTCATGTGACATGAGTTGACGGAGAAATGAAACAAAGAGAAAAGACAACAGAGTTAAAGAGAAAATATAGAACTAGATTATAAATCTCAGCTCAACTCTATGCAACTTTATCTGAAATGTTTAGTTAAGTTGTGTAGATATAAATGTTCTTACTTTTTTCGTCAACTTGGTTCTCTTATCTTCCTCCACCTGACCGGGTGTTGAAGGTGGAGGATTGCAGGTTCAGGAGATCCAACCTGGAATGATCAGAAACATTATTGATCTGCAGAATCTGAATTTGGAACCAGAAACCGGCTCTGGGTTTTCTATCATGTTTCTCAATTCTTTGATATTTAACCCACGTACAGGTGAACTTTAACATGAGATGCTAGAGAATCAACGCATTCAGTCTAAATACCAGATGATAGAAGGAGACTTTCTGATCAAGTCAACATCATGTCCTCACCTTTCCCACAATCTCTTACAACCAGTAGAGCAGCAGGTGGAGCAGGTCTTCTGCTTTAATTGTTGGTCAACTCAGGTCATGTGACATGAGTTGACGGAGAAAAGAAACAAAGAGAAAAGACAACAGAGTTAGAGGACAACATGCATGGACAGCAGACATAACTAGTTTCTAACTTTAAGCTCAACTCTATGCAGCTTGATCTGAAATGTTTCCTTATGTTGAGTAGATATAAATGTTCTTACTTTTTTCGTCAACTGGGTTCTCTTATCTTCCTCCACCTGACTGGTGGTGTTGAAGGTGGAGGATTGCAGGTTCAGGAGATCCAACCTGAGATGATCAGAACATCAGAGATCTGAGAAGTCTGGATCTGTGATCAGAGACTAGTGTCTGTATTTTAAATGTCTATTCTCTTTTTGTGATCTTTCTGTGTTGCAACATGTAAATATGGCTATATAAACTTTGTTTTATGAGATTAATATTTTATCTTTACTCCACATACTCCCCTATTCTCTACTTTCCTACTGAATAAAAGTTTTTCATTAAATCCCTAAATAATAAATGTTGTCTATGTTCTCCTCTGTCTTCCTATTTCTTATTGGCTTGATGCTTTAATTTCATCTCTAATACAAAATATTATCAGGCAAACTTTCATTACTAAATGTAAATTTGAACTCTGCTAATAGTGAATTTCTTTCTGTGTTTATCTAGTAAAGCTGATGGTCCCCAACACTAGAAGGAGGCAAACAGTATTATGTGTTGTGGAATGCAAAAACTTACAAGCAGGAACCACGAGGACAACGACAAAAGAATCCAACGAAGAGCATCTAAAACCTGAAAGATTAAAACTGGGAGAGTGGATTAATGAAGGAACAGGTGAAGACAATGTAGTATTTCAGAGAACACCGTGTGGGGAAGCAGCACTACTGCACCATGAAACATGTGAGAGCAGAGGAAAACAGAGACAGAAGCACAGAGACTCTTGGAAGAAGCAGTCTCACTGTGCTGCTGCTGTCTGGGACTGATACTTACTTTTGCCTTGCTTGAAAGGTGATCCTGGTGGTCCCTCAGAAAATATCCAGGGTGGTCCAAGTCACTGGACCAAGCCTTAACCAAAGATTTATCTCTGTCTTTTTCTTTTATCCTTAAAGAGTTTCATTTGTAATCCGCGGGTTGTTTTATTTCCTCTACATTTTAATTTGTCCACCATGGCATCATATTAGTCCTGAAACATTTAGATTTCTCACTGCTTGAAATATTTCATTTGTCCGCAGAAGTGTTGAGAGATGAATTTGTCCAGAAAAGCATTGTCTCTTCTCAATCCTAAGACATTTTAGGTTTGACGCCCAGCAGCATTACCAATATTTAACCCATTATCGCCTGCGTTTAACGACATATTAACATGTGGACTTGATAAATGATTGATCCGTTGATCAACAGTTCATTTCCGGGATCCAAAGGACCTGCCCATTTCTCTCTTCTACTTGTCATCTTTGAACATTTGAATCAACTCCTGTTGTTACTGTCGCCGACGTTGTTATTTCATACGTAGAAACGCCTCACTTTATAATGTCCAGACCAGAAAGGTAATAACTTTAAAACTGCTCTTTCATCCGTTTATACCAGCTCAACCGATTATATTTTATCTCCATTTTTGATTTTTCATGTCTTAAATTTGCAGCAGTGTTATCTCAATTTTATTAATTCCAGTGTCCCGAGCCACGTTATCTTAATCGTTTTAGGTCTGATTTTTACCCAGCAAGATTGTTTCAGATTTTGTATTAATCCTGTTGCGATGTCTGATTCCTTTTAGCATTTATCTTTCATGCACCAGCCATGCCCGACTCCTTTTAGTGTTTTTTGTTCATCAGAATGGTCTTGTTCCTTAGAAATTGAAATTAGCCTCCTGCAGCATTTAGACATTCATTGATTAATAGCAAAAAAAATCAGCATTGCCAGTTCAACCAGAATTCTCAACATCTAAAATGAAAACTCTAGCAGCGGGATAAAGAAAAGCCTCGGTGCAAGACGCTACCTAAGGCATCCTCGGTCCTGCTAGAATCCTTAACGTCTAAAATGAAAACTCTAGCAGCGGGATAAAGAAAAGCAAGACGCTACCTAAGGCATCCTCGGTCCTGCTAGAATCCTTAACGTCTGAAATGAAAACTCTAGCAGCGGGATAAAGAAAAGCCTCGGTGCAAGACGCTACCTAAGGCATCCTCGGTCCTGCTAGAATCCTTAACGTCTAAAATGAAAACTCTAGCAGCGGGATAAAGAAAAGCCTCGGTGCAAGACGCTACCTAAGGCATCCTCGGTCCTGCTAGAAAGCCATCGGCTTTAATAAAAACAACAGAGAAAAGATGGTCTCGTAATGGGACATCTCAGGTAGGTCTTCAGTTTTTCAAGATCCCAATCTAATCAGAGTCGTCGCTTGACAAGTCGTAGCGAGGTCTAAACCACACTTGTCCGGAACTCTCTCTTCCTCTAGCTCTGTCAGATCCAATTCCAGATGTTGATGGTACTGGTTCCTCTTCTTTGTCCATTTGAAACTTCATCCAGGCACACATGCAAGGGAATGACGAACTTTGAAACCTGCAGTATGTTGACGGTGAAGGACAAACGACGGGGGAAGACACAGTGGGATCCTCACACACTATCCTTTGTGGACGACTGAGGACAGGGGATGACAAAACAGGATCTTCACAGACTGGGGGACTGATGGAATGAACTGACGCAATGGGACCTTCACAGGGCAGTCTTGGTGAGGGACTGAAGACAGGGGAGGGCAAAATGGGATCCTCACATGCGCTGTTAGGTGAAAGACGGATGGGTGAAAAAATGGGATCCACCCAGAATGGCAAGGGAGAGGGACTGAGGCGAGGGATGACGGAACGGGATCCTCACACCATGTATTTGTGGTGGGACAGACAACAGGTTCCTCTTCATCGTCGCTGTTCCTGGACCTCTTGGCAGGGACCTCCTCTTCAGCACCACTGTCCCTGGTCCTCTTGGAGGGGAGCCCATCTCTAGGTTGACTCTCCCTGGTGCTTTTGGCTGGGGGCTCCTCTTCAGCATCTTCTCTCTCCCTAGACTTCTTTGCTGGGGGCTCCTTTTCAGCATCTTCACTGTCCCTGGTCCTCTTGGAAGAGAGCTCCTCTTCTGCAACAGCGTCCCTGGTCTTCTTGGCAGGGGGCTCCTCTTCAGAGTCACTTTGATTTGTCCTCTTTCTGTTTAAGCCGGTGACGGATGGCGCACGAGTCACATCCCCTACCAGACCTACCTGATGACGCTGCGAGATACCAGCGAGTGTGGAGTCATCTGGGCTCAAAATGGACTCTTCCCGCTTGACAAATCCATGTGTGGATTCAAGTGAGGTCAACTGAGAAGTGCCCTCTTCAAGCTTCTGAGCCATCTCCAGCTCAGCGTAAGGACGGTCCACTGTTGGACTGCAGCTGGTAGTGCTGATACTACCGTAGCTGCTAGTAAACTCGTTACCTACCTCAGCTTCACTGGAGATAGGAGTAGAGCTACCACTGTAGCTGGTCGTAGAGCTACCACAAGACCTGCTAAAACAGCTATCAACAGAACTGCTAGAACAGTCATCCTGACTGGAGCTACCTCTGGAGCTGTTAGTACAGTCAACAGACTGCGGAGGGGAACTACACCTAGACTCCTCTCCATGATCTCCAGAAACCATGTTGCCTGAAATGTCAACATTTGACCACATCTTACCCAAATCCTTACCATCATCCTGATGTTCCTCTGACGTTGGGGATCCATCTGCTGGAAGCGCTACACTATGAGCTGTGAAGGAAAACAAGAAAAACACTATAGTTCAGTATGAAGACCTTCACAAAAACCCAAAGCAATGTTTCAATAGAACACTAAAATACCACAATACATAGGGTTGACAATGTCTAAATAGAAAGACATTTTATTGTGTCTTGATGACTTTTTAACAGCTAATAAAATACCTTTAACCTTACATTGTACTATTAGTGTGAATAAAATAAAATACTGCAACAAGTGACTCAGTTTACCTTCCTATAACTCACAAATCTTTAATGCTGCTGAACAGGTAAGTTTTATTTTAATAACCAAAACAAGATACATGAGCCATTTATTACTATTCAACTTAAATTAGTCCTTACATAACTTTAATACTTTCTGAAAACGTAATCAACCTGAAAATATATTACAGCCCCAAATAGAAAAAAGGACCAACACATCATTTCGTAAACCACTAATTATTCAAAACTTCTATCTCTTAGAAAAATAAAATCAAAAAATAATAAAAATATAAACGACACCATTTACTTTATAAACAGGAAAATATATAAATAGAAATATATCTCTAAAAACTTTTCTAAACTTCAAGTTTTAAGGATTTATTTCAAGCAATGTATCCAAGGAGACCAAATGTGTTTTTGAGGCATTTTCTGAAACCTGGAACAAGCTCTGACTTCTTATTCCAAAACTCTGAATAAAACAAAACAGATCTTCTAAAACCAGAAATAACCTTTTAACAGAAGATTTTATTTAAGCAGTGTTAAACCTCCACAATCTCACCTAAAATGTGGAAACATTTTATTTGACGGGATGTGAATGACTGTCATGATGATAATATCATAACAATTATGACATTTGTTGTCATAATTGTTATGACAACAAATGTCATAATTGTTATGTTTTGACAAACATAATTGTTGTTATGACAACAAATGTCTTTGTTGTCATAACAAAGACATTTTGAATATCAACTTTGTATTAAAAGTGTCATGATTTCCTGAATGACACTTGTATCCAATGTATCCATGGAAACTAAATATGTTTGTGGATTTTTCCAAAAAATGGACAAAGAATCATCCAGTTTGCCAAGAATTGGACACCAAAGTCATAAAAGCTGATTTTCACAAAGAAATAACAATTTTGTTTTGAAAATCAGCTTTGATTGATGATCATTTTGACACAGACACACATGAACACATATGATGCTGGTCACGGTGGCCACAGTGGTGGAGTTTGCTCTGCAATGGCCGGCCTCTGGCGTTGTGTCCTTGGTCAAGACATTTCACCCACCTTTCCTGCTGCTGTTGGTCAGAAGGGCCAATGGCTTGATAGAACATCTGTGCTACAATCCATGAGCTTATCATCATTATTGTGTGAATGTGTGCATGAATGGAAACTAGTGATTTGATGTAAAGTCTTTATGAGTGTCCTAAGAAACCTCTACAACTGATGGCATTGTCATGGAAACCAAATAAAAACTAATGATCAAGAACAAGCTAGCGTTCCTGTTTTGTTTTGTTTAAAATTAACATAACAGTTATTCTCAAGGACTAGTGCTAACATCCCAGACATTTATTCACAAATTCCAATTTGCAAACACATATACAGTCAGAAAACTATTTAAATTAACTCACACATTTGTTTCATCCCACAAATCCAAAAGAGAGGATAGAAGATACATATTTCAAAAAAGACAACAAAATTGTTCTTTTTCAAATCAATTCACCTTGTTAGCATTCCTGGCTATGCTAAAACAACAACAAACCAACATGTCCCTGTCTTGAAGAAATGATCAAACTAAACGATTACAGGCTATCAAAGGGAAAATACATGTTGTTAAATAATTTTTTTTAAAGTAACATAAAATAGCTAATGGATTTTATTTAGAGTATCCATGGAAACCATGTGTTTATTTGCATTTTTCAAAAAATAACTGTCAACTTTTTAAGCATTTGACATTATTTCAACACTTTTGACTATAATTAGGTAAAATACATATATTACTTCAATCACGACACCACAGTTTAATATTCCTGACATTTCCTGGAAACTGAGTCAAGAAAAAGGCTAAGAAAGATCTATGCTAGCAAGAATGCTACTTGTCTTTTTTGTTCAGCAGGCACTATTTCTTTATAAAAACCGGACACAAAACAAAATAAACTAAACAATTCATTGTTATGTTAGTAATAAGTTGCTTTTGTTTATTAAAAACAGTAGAATAATGATATTAACCTTCCAGCTGATCACCCTGCTGGTGCTTCTCCGGGCCAGGATCCATCTTCGCGGGTTTTCGGCTTCTTCAGCAAATGCGTTTTCCACCAAGAGCTTCTTGAGCGAGTTTTGCAAAGCGGGACTTGTCCAAAGGTTCAGACCTTCCGAGGCGTTATGCGTCTTCTGGCGTCTCCTTCAAAAGTCTCGTAGCAAAGGGGAAGATTCCAGGAGGTCAGCGTCATTTATCGGGTTGCCGAGACTGACGTCGTTTCCATGACTTCCTTGACGAAGGCTCAATGACGAATGCGCGCGCTGGTGCGTCAGAGAAATTGTCCACAGAAGTTGCAGATTGCAGCAGTTAAATAGTCAAAGATTCATGCAGAACAGCTTGTGTTGTACTGCATAGTTCAGTTACAAATCACTCTTACAAGGCAAAACATTTATTATTATGTATCATATATTTATATTTTAATGTTGAATTGTTATCTTGATATTAGTCATTCTAAAGGGCCTCTAAGTGTAGCTTGGTGCCACACAAACATTGCCACATCTATGATCTAGTAATGCCGGCATTAGTCAACTACTGAATGACAGTCAGACAGGAGATTCAATATTTATTGTCTAATATAAAGATCATTGCATGGAATTAGCTTCAAATTCTGTAAAAACAAAAGTTCTTTTGAAGCACCTTTTGCTAACTCCTGTCTTTATGTGAACCCATCTGCTTTAATTCTGTTACATTGTTAGTTTCTCCATTTTTGAACAGCAAAACAATTTCTATTCTGCTCTATTTTCTTTTACAGCGTTGGTGCTGGACTCGCTCTCAGTAGAGGATCTGATTAAGACATAGTTTCATGACCTTTGCTCTTTAACGAGCATATTTAAGAACTGATCACTTTTATGGAAACCAATGACATCATTCTGGACTGTTTGTCTTCTCTGAAATTTTCCTGAATTTGTTATAATTCTGGTTTGTTGTTAGTTCCAGTTCTGGATGATCTGATGAATGATCTGAAGGAGAGACATGATCAGACATGTCTAGTGTGGTTTGTGTTCATAGTTTGCTGCAATGTGACATGATGATGAAAGCAGGGAAAGATGGAATAAAATACCATCAGGCCTGCTAAACTGTCTCACGGTGCATCTGGTGAACCGGATGTCATGCACCACCTTCCTAAAAACCTGTTTTTGTACTTGTTGTTTTTCTCTTTTATTTAACATCTGCTTAATTTGTTGCCTGTTTGGCAGTTTTCAAAATAATTGGTCAAAACAAATAAAAAGAATCAATCACGCGTTAGTATGTCAGTTTTTATTGTAACAATTTCATAAATACAATCAAGCATTACAACAATTAAGCATGACAACATTTTTCAACAATAATTATATTATTGGAAAATTCAGATTCTGCAGATCAACAATGTTTCTGGTCATCAGGTGGAGCAGGTCTTCTACTTTAATTGTTGGTCAACTCAAGTCATGTGACATGAGTTGACGGAGAAAAGAAACAAAGAGAAAAGACAACAGAGTTAGAGGACAATATGCATGGACAGCAGACATAACCAGTTTCTAACTTTAAGCTCAACTCTATGCAGCTTGATCTGAAATGTTTCCTTATGTTGAGTAGATATAAATGTTCTTACTTTTTTCGTCAACTGGGTTCTCTTATCTTCCTCCACCTGACTGGTGGTGTTGAAGGTGGAGGATTGCAGGTTCAGGAGATCCAACCTGGAATGATCAGAAACATTATTGATCTGCAGAATCTGAATTTGGAACCCGAAACCGGCTCTGGGTTTTCTATCATGTTTCTCAAATTCTTTGATATTTAACCCCTGTACAGGTGAACTTTAACATGAGATGCTAGAGAATCAACACATTCAGTCTAAATACCAGATGATAGAAGGAGACTTTCTGATCAAGTCAACATCATGTCCTCACCTTTCTCACAATCTCTTACAACCAGTAGAGCAGCAGTGGAGCAGGTCTTCTGCTTTAATTGTTGGTCAACTCAAGTCATGTGACATGAGTTGACGGAGAAAAGAAACCAAGAGAAAAGACAACAGAGTTAGAGGACAATATGCATGGACAGCAGACATAACCAGTTTCTAACTTTAAGCTCAACTCTATGCAGCTTTATCTGAAATGTTTAGTTAAGTTGTGTAGATATAAATGTTCTTACTTTTTTCGTCAACTTGGTTCTCTTATCTTCCTCCACCTGACTGGTGGTGTTGAAGGTGGAGGATTGCAGGTTCAGGAGATCCAACCTGGAATGATCAGAAACATTATTGATCTGCAGAATCTGAATTTGGAACCCGAAACCGGCTCTGGGTTTTCTATCATGTTTCTCAAATTCTTTGATATTTAACCCTCGTACAGGTGAACTTTAATATGAGATGTTAGAGAATCAACACATTCAGTCTAAATACCAGATGATAGAAGGAGACTTTCTGATCAAGTCATCATCATGTCCTCACCTTTCCCACAATCTCTTACAACCAGTAGAGCAGCAGGTGGAGCAGGTCTTCTACTTTAATTGGTCAACTCAGGTCATGTGACATGAGTTGACAGAGAAAAGAAACAAAGAGAAAAGACAACAGAGTTAGAGGACAATATGCATGGACAGCAGACATAACCAGTTTCTAACTTTAAGCTCAACTCTATGCAGCTTGATCTGAAATGTTTCCTTATGTTGAGTAGATATAAATGTTCGTACTTTTTTCGTCAACTGGGTGCTCTTATCTTCCTCCACATGACTGGTGGTTTTGAAGGTGGAGGATTGCAGTTTCAGGAGATCCAACCTGAGATGATCAGAACATCAGAGATCTGAGAAGTCTGGACCTGTGATCAGAGACTAGTGTCTGTATTTTAAATGTCTATTCTCTTTTTGTGATCTTTCTGTGTTGCAACATGTAAATATGGCTATATAAACTTTGTTTTATGAGATTAATATTTTATCTTTACTCCACATACTCCCCTATTCTCTACTTTCCTACTGAATAAAAGTTTTTCATTAAATCCCTAAATAATAAATGTTGTCTGTTCTCATCTGTCTTCCTATTTCTTATTGGCTTGAAGCTTTAATTTCGTCTCTAATACAAAATATTATCAGGCAAACTTTCATTACTAAATGTAAATTTGAACTCTGCTGATAGTGAATTTCTTTCTGTGTTTATCTAGTAAAGCTGATGGTCCCATCAGCTTTACTAGATGGGGCAACTAGAAGGAGGCAACACTAGAAGGAGGCAAACAGTATTATGTGTTGTGGAATGCAAAAACTTACAAGCAGGAACCACGAGGACAACGACAAAAGAATCCAACGAAGAGCATCTAAAACCTGAAAGATTAAAAACTGGGAGAGTGGATTAATGAAGGAACAGGTGAAGACAATGTAGTATTTCAGAGAACACCGTGTGGGGAAGCAGCACTACTGCACCATGAAACATGTGAGAGCAGAGAGGAAAACAGAGACAGAAGCACAGAGAATCTGGAGAAGCAGTCTCACTGCGCTGCTGTCTGGGACTGATACTTACTTTTGCCTTGCTTGAAAGGTGATCCTGGTGGTCCTCAGAAAATATCCATGGTGGTCCAAGTCACTGGACCAAGCCTTAACCAAAGATTTATCTCTGTCTTTTCTTTTATCCTTAAAGAGTTTCATTTGTAATCCGCGGGTTGTTTTATTTCCTCTACATTTTAATTTGTCCACCATGGCATCATATTAGTCCTGAAACATTTAGATTTCTCACTGCTTGAAATATTTCATTTGTCCGCAGAAGCGTTGAGAGATGAATTTGTCCAGAAAAGCATCGTCTCTTCTCAGTCCTAAGACATTTTAGGTTTGACGCCCAGCAGCATTACCAATATTTAACCCATTATCACCTGCGTTTAACGACATATTAACATGTGGACTTGATAAATGATTGATCCGTTGATCAACAGTTCATTTCCGGGATCCAAAGGACCTGCCCATTTCTCTCTTCTACTTGTCATCTTTGAACATTTGAATCAACTCCTGTTGTTACTGTCGCCGACGTTGTTATTTCATACGTAGAAACGCCTCACTTTATAATGTCCAGAGCAGAAAGGTAATAACTTAAAAACCGCTCTTTCAATCCGTTTATACCAGCTCAAACCGATTATATTTATCTCCAATTTTGATTTTTCATGTCTTAAATTTGCAGCAGTGTTATCTCAATTTTATGATTCCAGTGTCCGAGCCACGTTATCTAACGTTTTTAGGTTTGAGTTTTACCCAGCAAGATTGTTTCAGATTTTGTATTAATCTGTCGCGAGTCTGATTCCTTTTAGCATTTTTCTTTCATGCACCAGCCATGCCCGACTCCTTTTAGTGTTTTTGATCATCAGAATGGTCTTGTTCCTCAGAAATTGAAATTAGCCTCCTGCAGCATTTAGTCATTCATTGATTAATAGCAAAAAAAAATCAGCATTGCAGTTCAACCAGAATTCTCAACATCTAAAATGAAAACTCTAGCAGCGGGATAAAGAAAGCCTCGGTGCAAGACGCTCCCTAAGGCATCCTCGGTCCTGCTAGAATCCTTAACGTGTAAAATGAAAACTAGCAGCGGGATAAAGAAAAGCCTCGGTGCAAGACACTACCTAAGGCATCCTCGTCCTGCTAGAAAGCATCGGCTTAATAAAAACAACAGAGAAAAGAGGTCTCGTAATGGGACATCTCAGGTAGGTCTTCAGTTTTCAAGATCCCAATCTAATCAGAGTCGTCGCTTGACAAGTCGTAGCGAGGTCTAAACCACACTTGTCCGGAACTCTCTCTTCTCTAGCTCTGTCAGATCCAATTGCAGATGTTGATGGTACTGGTTCCTCTTCTTTGTCCATTTGAAACTTCATCCAGGCACACATGCAAGGGAATGACGAACTTTGAAACCGCAGTATGTGACGGTGAAGGACAAACGACGGGGGAAGACACGGTGGGATCCTCACACACTATCCTTTGTGGACGACTGAGGACAGGGGATGACAAAACAGGATCTTCACAGACTGGGGGACTGATGGAATGAACTGACGCAATGGGACCTTCACAGGGCAGTCTTGGTGAGGGACTGAAGACAGGGGAGGCAAAATGGGATCCTCACATGCGCTGT